ATGAAGAAGCACGAGGAGCTAGAAACGCCAACGTTCACCACATCGATTCCAGTCGACGTTTCAGGCTGATAGGAAAGAAGTATTTAAAACAAAATTAGTAATTTGATAATACTAAACATGATTATCTGTATATGTTACCGTTCCAAATAAATTATTCATATTAAAATACGATTAGTAAGCGTTATGATGTATCCAAGTTCGATTACCATTTTTACAAATGCCATCAGTTAGGAATCTTTTCTTTGCTTAATACACCAAGAGTTTCATTATAATTATAACGTACTATAATATATTTCGCAATTGCAATTGGCATATCGTTCAATATTAATATTACAAAGCTGCCAGTGATACGTCAATCATATTTTTGAACATATTTTATCTTATGTTTCAGTAATTCTGTAAGAATTTTTAGATGCTTATGTATAAATTGGTGATATAGCATAAATAACATATACGAATTTGTATATTTTGAAGTACTATCTGTGTAAACTATCCAAAACTAACATTCAAAATTTGTTTTTTGAAAAAAATTATCTTACAATATGTGTACTATAATATAATGTATTTAGTATTAAATGTTTGAGAAACTAATTTAGTTAAGTTGTATACAATAAATTATAATCGTGTTATATTATGTTTATATTTACAAATTTTCGTGATGGAGTTTAATGTTAGATGAATATATTAAAATGTATGTTCTAACAATTGTAATATTAATGTTAATTTTAACCGTAAATTAAGGAAAACATTGTTTTGATGACTACTTAGCTTCCGATCCAGAGGTGATTTAGACATTTAGTTAGCATTTTAAAATATTGTGTAGCTAACATTTCGTGTGATTTTGACAACTAATCAGTTATTTAAGAAATGTGCATATAATTATTATATACATATTATTTTACATACCTGTTTAGTATTCAAAAAACTTGTCAATTACTTCGCACAAAAGAACATTGTGAGTATAATAATATCATATTATGCAAACATTCTTTATTTACGTGTAGTTTACTTGAAGTATCTGGTTTTCTTTGCTTTTTTTCATTTGATTCAGTAAAATTAATTCAAATCTAACAGTATTTTGCATAGCAGTTATACGAAAATTAACCAGTGCTTAACAATATTTAAAATATTTATATAATTCATTAACTAGTTATAGTAAAAAAATATATAAATTCATTTTAAATTAAAAGACATAATATATTTTACATATTGTTTAAATCTTGTACTTTGCCATTTTCTCTGTTTGTTTCATGTAATCTTCGGAAGCGTAGCAAATGTTGTGTATATTAGTAATGTACAGTTGTATAAAACATAAATTGTAAGTCCACTTACAGGCACATGCTATTGTCTTATTGAATTTATTTGTTCTACCAGGAAAGTGCTTTATAGATTTTACTAAATATATATTAAGAAAAGCGTTCTCTGTTGAATTGTAATTAATCCTTTTTGTAAGATTTACAGCAAGTATGAAGAAATGTTAAATTTTGTTAAATTTCATGTATTGTATATGATATTCGCACGTACTTATGAAATGTATGTCAGTCAAATGCTGAATTTATTTTAATATACAATCTTTGAAATACTAAACTTGTTTTATTTCAAATGCTATTTACCTTATTTATAATTAACCTCCCGTAGAATAGGTTGTAGTAATCGCGAAAAAATCGAAAATGAAAGTTTTTGCATATCCTTACGTTTTGAAGGTTTCTGAACATTTTGTAATATCTTAGAAACTAGCTGTAAGTGGAATTCTGTCTTAAGGCAATTAGGGCATCGTGCCTTAAGGCAAATTGCTGAAACTTCCCGTACCAAAAATTATTATTTTTTTTAAAAACGATTAACATTTTTGAAAAAAATTTACTTCGAAAAAATAAGATTTTTGAGAAACTATAAATTGGACAAAAAATTACTTTTTTTTGAAAAAAAAAATTTTTTTTTTAAATTTAAAAAAAAAAAAATTTTTTTTTAAATTTTTTTGTTTTGAAAAAAAAATGTTTTCTTTATTTTGACATATTTTGGAAGATCTGAACTTGTTTTTCAAAGCAATCGTGCTGCTTTAACTGCATAGAGACAAAATATAAAGCGCGTAAGCGCGGCGTCGCTGTCTAACGGGTAAACATTGATACGGAACCCATAGGAAAATAAACAAAATTTATACTTATTGTTAAAATCTCTATAAAATATCTGAAAATTTGATGTGCATATGTCTAATGATCATTTTTGACCGCCAAATGGCATTTTTTTCTACTTTTTTCGTTAGATCTCCGAAACCGCTAGACCTGCCTTTATGAAAATATGATCAATTTTTACCTTGTCAATACAAGTAAAATGTTTTTTGAATTATTAAAATCGGACGCTCCGTTCTCTTAAAACTGAGTTACCGTTTTCGGCACTTTTTGCCCCGTATCTCCGGAACGGCTAGACCTGCCTTCGCCAAAAACTAATCAGCACGTCTCCTTATCAATACGAATCGAATGTTTTTTGAATTATTCAAATCGGTTGATCCGTGTTCCCGAAATCGTCGACGAAAATTTGTATCCGCACATACATACACACACGCACACACACACACACACACACACACACACACATACATCCATTTTTTCTAAGGTATGCCAAAATGTTCAGAAACCCCTGAAACGTAAAGATATATAAAAATTTTCATTTTCGATTTTTTTGCGATTACTATAACTTACCCTACGGGAAGTTAAAAATTGATATATTTTTGTGTATGCGGATACAATTTTTTGTGAACACGGATCTACCGATTTCAATAATTCAAAAAACATTCAGTTCGTATTGACGTGCATATGAGTTTTTAGCAAGGTCAGGTCCAGCCGTTTCGAAGATACGGGGCAAAAAGTGTTAAATATGGAAATTTGTTTTTTAGATAACGAAGCCGTTATTTGTATTGACGAAATGAAGAACCAATAAATTTTTCAAAATTCATGGCTGGTCTAGCGGTTTTGTAGATTCAATAAAAAAGTAAACAAATGCTATTTGGCGGTCAACAATGATCATTTGACCTATGCACATCGAATTCTAGGATATTTTATAAAAATTTTGATAATAACAAATTTTGTTCATATTTCTATGGATTCCGTACCAATATTTGTCCGTTAGACTGCGAATTAGGGCCTTAATGCTAATTGCAGGAACTTTCCGTAACGAAAAAGTTTTTTTTTTTTTTAAATTTCATAATATAAAAACAGTTCTTTCTAAAAATTAAAAAAAAATTGAATAGTTTTTTTAAAAAATAATTTTCCTTACGGGAATGCGGGTTCTTGCAATTTGGCTTAAAACCTTAATGCACTTCTTTTCGTTTTTCATTTTTCTGATCGCTGTTTAAATATTTTAAATGAAATGAATAAAATGAGAAAAAGTAAGCAGAACACTACAAAATTTTATGCAATATAGTAATATGTATCATAATTCATTATATTCGTTTTTTATGATTTCATATTGCCAGAACTAAGAGAATTATTTATCCTCTAGATTCTATTCTATCTTATCTATTTGATATAATTTTGTTCAATAAGTAAGCGTTAAATAGTTCGAAGATTTTTAATTTTGAAAAATAAGTTTTAATTTTTTTTTAAATATTTATGTGCCGAAGCCAGTGGACGCCGCAGCACCTAGGCACTTCGGCAATTCGTTGCTCGCAAAATATTCAATTCAACATTTTGATGTTTTTTTAATTCTTACTTATCGATAAAATTCGCGCAGAAAAATTCATCTAGGCCCTCACAAGATCGGAAAACTTATGATGATTGCAGCAAAAAAACTTACCACCAGTGTACTTTTTATTTATTTTTTGTTACTTATTACTTTATCTGAAAAACTAGATGTAAGTGGAATTCTGTCTTAAGGCAATTAAGGCATCGTGCCTTAAGGCAAATTGCTGGAACTTTCCGTAAAAATTTTTTTTTAAAAACGATTAACATTTTTGAAAAAAATTTACTTCGAAAAAATAAGATTTTTGAGAAACTATAAATTGGACCAGAAATTACTTTTTATTGAAAAAATTTTTTTTTTAAAAAAAATTTTTTTTTTTAATTTTTTTTTTTTTGAAAAAAAATGTTTTCTTTATTTTGACATATTATGGAAAATCTAAACTTTTTTTCAAAGCAATCGTACTGCTTTAACTGCATAAAGACGAAATATCAATGCGCGTAAGCGCCGCGTCGCCGTCTAACGCGTAAACATTGGTACGGAACTCATAGGACTGTATACCAAATTCATACTTATTGTTAAAATCTCTATAAAATATCTGATAATTTGATGTGCATAAGTCTAATGATCATTTTTGACCGCCAAATGACTTTTTTTTTACTTTTTTCATTAGATCTCCGAAACCGCTAGACCTGCCTTTATGAAAATTTGATCGGTTCTTCACCTTGTCAATATAAGTAAAATGTTTTTTGAATTATTAAAATCGGACGCTCCGTTCTCTTAAAAACTGAGTTACCGTTTTCGGCACTTTTTGCCCCGTATCTTCGGAACGGCTCGACCTCCCTGCGCCAAAAACTAATCAGCACGTCTCCTTATCAATACGAATCGAATGTTTTTTGAATTATTTAAATCGGTTGATCCGTGTTCCCGAAATCGTCGACGAAAATTCGTATCCGCACATACATACACACACGTACTTACATACACACACACACGCACACACATACATCCATTTTTTCTAAGGTATGCCAAAATGTTAAGAAACCTTTGAAACGTAAAGATATATAAAAATTTTCATTTTCGATTTTTTTGCGATTACTATAACTTGCCCTACGGGAAGTTAATAATAATTTGACTTATACATTTATAAATACTTTACAGATTTTAGTATTTATCAAAATAAAGTTTGAGTTACCATAAATTTCAATCATCACTGATCATCTAGTAATGATTATTTGGAATTTGACAAATGTTTTGTTTTTATACATTTTTACTTATTCCCTTAAATGACGTTTTAAGTATATAATTAGTAAATAAATATAAGTATAATGATGGAAATTTTCAATTGCGCAAAACCATTTTTAAACTTGTATCAGGTACGTATAAGCAACAAGGCTGCGAATGTCATTTCATGTCCGCAATTTATGCAACTGTCATAAATTTTGAGCAATTTTTATGTTTTTTGGTAATAATATACATATATTATTTAACCGCTGTTAAGTTATAATAAATCTTAACTTGAATTCTTAGAAGTAAGAAAAATACTGTAAAAATTACTCGATTATTTATAAATGCAGCTATACATTTCATAAGGTTGACATAACTTATTAATTGCTAAACTTGTGATGATCAGTGTACAAGTTGATTATCTTTAGATAACTAGAGCTCGTCCTGCTTTCTTACTTACTTGCATTCGTCATGGGCACACTGGAAAAGAAGCCAATCAAGAAAAACAGAATGCCAAAACTTCTAAGAAAAAACCGGCGTCAAAAGAATATCTCGTAGTGGACCACTTTTTCGATACCGTAATTGTGGGGGCGGGAGGTGCTGGCCTAAGAGCTGCCGTTGGTCTTCTCGCCGAAGGATTTAAAGTCGCAGTTGTAACGAAATTGTTCCCAACTCGTTCTCATACGGTCGCTGCACAGGGAGGCATCAATGCGGCCATGGGTCAGTTGTAAAAATGCGCCTGGCGCGCCTTTTCGTTCACACATAAGTTATTCTAGTGGCAGTTCCAAAAATTTTATTTGGTCCACGATCTTTGGGGCAACATGATATTATTTAAGGCATTCTTTATCCTTTCTCTCTTTTGATGATTTATAATTACCCTCAACCCCCACCGAACATCACGTATATTTTGGTCCCTACTTTTCGGAGAATTAGCTTTAAATCCAGAATAAAAATAATTACCTGTAATATTTTATGATTTTTTGTCAAATCCCTTCTTCAAACCTCACCTGTATAATTACCCCTTTAGTTACCCCTTGGAAAGAAATCTTATATTAATAGAAAACTTTATGTTTTTGCCAGAAAGTCCTATTTGCTAATTTTATGTTTTCTCGTCGTTTCAAGTCGGAGTATGTGAACCGATTATTTATCTTTTGTCTTCGTTTTTCTTAAAAGCGGCTAAACCGATTTAAAAATTTAAAAAAACATGTAATGAAACTCGAAAATAATGCGTTGGTTAGTTGTTTTGAGACGATTGGCCCAGCCAATTTAATTAGATTTAGCAGCAAAATTTCTCATTCACGCTTTCGCAAAAAATCCTAAACCTATTAGTCCAGTCTTTTGGTGCAAAAAAGGCTGTTGCCGGTCTAGAAATAAAATAATTCAAATATTTTTCTGTTTTTTTGCTGATTTTTTAGCACTTCAATGGCAAAGTAGCTATAAGTAAGTAGCTTGAAGTGTTAAAAAATCAGCAAAAAAACAGAAAAATATTTGAATTATTTCATTTCTAGATCTTATTCGCTTAATTTAACATTGAAAATATTTGTTTATTAGAGAGAATGTGGTCAAGTTCAAAGTGCTGTCATATATGGAGAGATTTGATACTACGGCGAGAGCAGCAAAGACTTTGAGGCGGCCGTACTCTCAAACTATCAATTTTACAAAAAAACGGTTTTCTGAAGAATTGTAGGAAATTTTATCTAGTTTAATTCGTACATAGATACGTACATAGATACTTTTATCGTAAAATCAGCCAGAAAGGAGATATTTTAAAAAAGCTGTAGTTTGACGCCATTTTTCCAATATAGCGGCAACTTGCCGTTCAAATTTGAGGTGGCAAAGTTGATTTTCGTAAAGAGCACCTCGAAATCCATAAGGTTACCAATTTTCAGAATTCCCGGAGTACTGTACCGGCAAAACGACCAAATGACTGGACTATATTTACAAAATTTAAAAATCGTTCATCCGATATAATTTGGGAATCGTACTGATAAGTTTTTGAGAAAGATTGGTCGAGCCGTTTCTTCGAAATTAAGTGCTGAAAAAAATATTTTGCGTTTTTAATTTACCAACGATAGAGTTTGTTTTGAATGAACATTCTAAAATATTTCAAGCCCACAAAAAAAAATATGTTTGAAAAATATCAATTAAAATTGCATTGATTAGTTGTCAGCGAAAGCGAAAACTTTATTTTCGAAATAAACAATTAAAAATTTTATCTAATTATCTAAATCTCAATTTTATTAAAATTTATGCAGCTTGCCTTACGGCAAAATACCACTTACAACTAGTTCATTTATAAAATTTATTAGGAAATATGAGCTCCGACAATTGGAAATGGCACTTTTACGATACCGTGAAGGGCTCGGATTGGCTTGGTGATCAAGACGCAATACATTATATGACACGTGAAGCAAAACGGTCGATTGCGGAACTTGAACAGTATGGAATGAATTTTTCACGAACTAAAGAGGGTAAAATTTATCAACGAGCTTTTGGTGGGCAGATGAAAAATTATGGGAAAGGCGGAAAAGCGGCCAGGAGTTGCGCCTGCGCTGATAGGTATATTACTTAATACATAAATAAAATGATTATGAGTATACTTAATAAAATCACTGTTACCAAAGAATTCTATTGGTTTTTTAACAATATACAAATTATTTAAAACTTTAATTAATTGTAATGTATGTGCAGAACAGGCCATGCAATGATACATGCTCTATACGGGCAAACTTTACGGTATAACTGTCAATATTTTATTGAATACTTTGCGATGGATTTGCTAATGGAAAATGGAGAATGTAAAGGAATCATTGCGCTCTGTTTAGAAGACGGTACAATACACAGGTGTGAATTATATTATACGATATCTATATATTAGCTGATGATATTGTTTTGAATGCATTTTTTAATAACGTATATTATTTGATGACGATCCTAACAAAGTTTAGTGTTATAGATTCATCACAAAGAATACTATCATCGCGACCGGAGGGTACGGAAGGGCTTATTACAGTTGCACCTCAGCTCACACATGCACAGGCGACGGTTATGGCATGATTGCTAGAGCCGGCTTACCATGTCAGGATATGGAATTTGTACAGTTTCATCCCACAGGTTATATTAAATTATTTATTTATTTAAAATATAATAAACTAGTCGTCATGGGTCTTTCTCTATTGTTATCTCAACTGATGTTTTATTTATTTAGGTATATATGGCTCTGGATGTTTGGTAACAGAAGGTAGCAGAGGAGAAGGAGGCTATCTTATCAACAATAAAGGAGAACGATTTATGGAGAGATATGCTCCTGATGCCAAAGACTTGGCTCCTAGGGATGTTGTAGCTAGAGCGATGTCATTAGAAGTTGCACAAGGTGAATTTGAACAAAATGTTTATTATTTTGATAGATATAAAAAATGCATCGTTGATGGAAAAGTATTACACATCTATATGTGCCCATAATTATGAAAGTGGTCTAAGTCATATATTTCTTGTTTCAAGATATTTAATGAATTGCATTTGAATAAATTTAAAAATATTTTTACATTATGCGACATTTTAATTTTTAATTTTATTAGTCTTAATGGAAATTTATTATGAATATGAAATTTTGTGTGAATTTCATACGATAATATTGTTTTTAAAGTTTGAATTGACTTAGACCATTTTCAAAATTAACTGAATGTCCTATAATTGACTTAAAGTAATAAAGAACTTTGAGTTTTATTTGAAACAATAATTTTATTAGAATAATTCGTGAACATTTATTAATTATTTTTAAACGGTAATCCATTTTTATCATTATTTCGAGTATTTAAGATTCTTAAAATATTCTTGAAAAACTGGAGTGATGTACGGTAGTAAACTCATAATATCTTTATGTTTTTCTTCCGATACTGGTCTAATGCTGGTGTATAATGGAAGTAATTTAATATTTCCGTATATTTTTGGTCTTCCTCTTTTAGGTGAAAGATCCAAAACGTGAAATGTAGAATCATCTAAAAAAGTTTTATAAAACATTTTATAAGGTTCATTTTTCAAGAATCTTATCTATTGAATTTGTAGCCAAGAGACAGATCATTATCATTATCATTTCACATATTAAAATTTCAAATTTATAGTAACAATATTATATATATAAATTTATCTTAGAATTAAACCTAAGGATTTGGATTTATCTAGAATTGAACCTAGTGGTAAATTTTCATGCTGCACTCGTCGCGCCTCTGTAGCAGGAGCAGAAAATTAAAATTAAAATAATCGAAAAGCGGTCCAGTTTGCTATCTATTTATACTTGTTTATCTATGTTCAGAAACGCGTCAAAGGAGGCCACGTGTCATTTTTAAGATGTTTATATAATTTCTTAAATTTTTTGACTTAGACCACTTTCATAATTAACACTAAATGAATTCCATATAATGTTGAAATTACAACCACTATGGTTCATTTTTGACAATTTCGTAAAAATTTCATTGAATACATTTAGTTTAAACTAATGTGGTATGAAATAACTGATAAACTCATTTTTTTTAAATTTTGACTTAGACTACTTTTATAATTATGGGCACATATATCAATTATTCCATAATTTTTAATTTACAGGAAGAGGTTGCGGTCCGGATAAAGACCACCTACATTTGAAATTGTCTCACCTTCCAGTTGATCAACTTAAAACGCGACTTCCAGGACTGATGATTACTGCAATGATTTTTTCGGGAGTTGATATTACAAAAGATCCGTTGCCTGTGCAGCCAACAGTACATTTTAACATGGGTGGAATACCTACGAATTATAAGGGGCAAGTGCTGTTTCATAAAGATGGAGAAGATGTTGTAAGTACGGGGAGATATTGTACAATAAAAATAAATTGTTTTTATAAATATCTGAATTATTTTGAAAAATAAGATGACGATAAAATGAAAATGTTTGTAGATAGTATCAGGTCTATATGCAATCGGTGAAACTGCATCGACTGTGCATGGAGCAAATCGCCTAGGCGCTAATTCACTTTTGGAACTAGTTATATTCGGAAAACTGGCCGCCTGCAATATAGCTAATGAATGCCAACCCGGGACTAAAGTAGAGTTATCCTACGATGTGAGTTGTTGAAACAATTTTAAATAATGCACATTGCAAAATTTCATTTTTATGATTGTAGCGCACTGGTGAAGAATCCATATGCAACTTAGACTGCTTGCGCTGTGCCAAAGGTAAGTACCCAGCTGGCGAATTGCGCGTAATGTTGCAAAAAATTATGCAACGCTACGCGGCTGTGTTTCGTGAAGGCTGCTATCTAAAAGAAGGTATTGAGAAGTCCTCTGAGCTCTATAAATTACTCGCGGATATACAATTGTTTGACCGTACAGTTATTTGGAACTCAGATTTAGTCGATAGTTTGGAATTACAGAACTTAATGATTTGTGGCCGACAAACAATTGTAGCAGCTGCGAAAAGGAAAGAAAGTCGGGGGTCACATTCGCGTGAGGATTACAAGGTAGTATTTCAAATTGTTTCCATTTGATGTTTCATTAGTTAGGCTTTATTAATAAGCATTTTTTATTTGTGATTTCTTTCAGTGTCGTGTTGATGAATATGACTATGACAAACCGCTCCAAGGGCAAACGATGCGTCCCTTCGAGAAACATTGGCGCAAGCACACTCTAACCTACATCAACGTCGAGAGCGGCAACGTCTGCGTCGACTACCGGCCCGTGCAGGATGGCACGCTGGACGAGCGCGAATGCCCGTCCGTACCGCCTGCGACTCGATCTTATTGATATTCATCTCTAGAAAATTAATTAATTTACACTGTAAATTATTTTGTGTTGATTTTTAAGGTTTTCGATAAATTGTCATTGACTGTCAATGTATTTGTATATTAAAAATTAACATTCACTATTCAGATAAATTGTTTACACTAGTGGTGCATGGCATTGTACCTTAAGGCAAATTGCTGAAACTTCCTTAATTAAAAAATTTTAAAAACTTTAAAATTTTATGAGAATTTCAAAAAAAAAATCTTTTCTGAGGATAGGTTGAAAAAAATGAATTTTTTACGCTATTGCACTGCGTAGATGTTGTAGAGACCAATTATCGAAGGTTAAACAATATAAATCATTGTACGGGACCCTTAGAAATGTAAACAAAATTTGTGTTTATTATAAAAATCTTTATGGAATACCTAATAATTTAATTGCATATGTCTAATGATCCTTTTTTGACTGCCAAATCGCATTTTTTAACTTTTTTTCGGATCTCCGACAGCACTGAACTAGCCTTTCCAAAAATTCAATCAAAAAGTGAATTGCTACTTCTTGTACTTTTTGCTGCGTATTTTCAAAACGTCTGGGCCTGCTTCCAAAAATTGATCAGTATGTCTTCCCATCAAAATGAATCGAATATTTTTTTATTCATTCAAAACAGTTGATCCGTGCTGTCGAGCGCGAAAATGGTATCCAATTCATACAGACACACTACGTAAACACATATACACACACACATAAATCAATTTTTTCTCAAGTATACCAAAATTTTCAGAAATGTTTGAATCGTGAAAATATACAAACATTTTCATTTTCGATTTTATTACAATTAATAATAGTGGCATGGGAAAAATCGAAGCCATCGAAGTTAGATAAAATTTAATACTAAATAGTTTTCAAAAAATGTATATGATTCTCCACCATCCTGATGAATAAATCTAGAATATAAAAATTGCATTCTGTGATATGGTATACATGTTGTGCAAATAACGATATCAAAGTTTAATACACTACGAGAAATTTTTAAATTAATAAACACAGATTAAATACCTAGCACAAATGCGATAAGCTTTATTATCGAATGTAATCATAGTTGTGATTTACTGTGGTCAAAAATAACATTTGAAAACATTATATATGACTGGTATAATTATATTGCATTTCCAAATTAATTATTAGTTTTATAGAACTAATCTTTTTATAGTACAATCTACAATTCTACAGAATTTTATAAATTTATGATTTTAACGAATATAGGTTTATTAATTTACATTGTTTGTACACCAACATTTATATAATTAAATATATTTTCATCAAGGTTGTACATGTGTATTTAAATTATTCGCAGATAATAATAAAACACACTCTAAATAGTATTACACAATAATCCATTATGGATACTGATAATATATGTAACGTGTATCGCGTATTTTTAATAATCAGAGATATATATGAAAAATGTCCCATAATATACAGTAGAACCTCCTTATTCGCGACTCCTTCATTCGCGTTTTCGCTATTCGCGGCCAAAAAAATTGCGACCCGATTTCTTTCTTCGCGGCTAAAAATTTCGTTATTCGCGGATTCCAGTGTATATGAAATCCAATATCCTTTGTAAATGCCGTCTTTTTGACCTATAATTGCGTTGCGTTCGCCGTCCTCTCCGTTATCAGCGTTTTTGATCAAGTAAGCAAACAGGTAATGAATGAATCGTATATGTATGCTTTAACACTTTCCACTCGCGAATTTCGAAATCTATATGAATTTTGCCGCCGGACCGAGCGGCATCCGAGTCGAAAGGGTTAACATTGTTCGTTTCTGTGGTAAATGCTGCTATGCATGCTTTATTTCTTCATTTTTCTCATTCGTAGCAAATATTGTGATTGAGTAACACGTGCTAACAGACCTAATTGCTTGAATCACGTGATAATGATTTGTCTGAAACCGACTTGGAAGAAATGTTAAATTCACAACCCAATGAAGAAGAGGCTTCAACGTGCACTGAAAACATGACATTTAATTTAAAGAGTCTCAGTGAAGGTTTAAAGATGGCAAATGATCTGTGTGATTTTTTTATGAACATTGATCCATCTATGGAGAGAAGTATTCTCTTTAAGAGGCAAATTGCAGATGTGACTGCCGTTTATCAGCCTGAATTGGAGAAACTCTTGAAAACTACCAAGCAACAAAAAATTACAAAGTTTTTCAAATCTTTGCCTATTTCTGAACAAAAATGATCAAAATGTTTAATGTATAATATAATTAATCAAATATATAAAGTAATTAATCTAATGCATTTATAAATATAAATAAAAATATAGTTTTTTATGTATGTACTTTTCATTATTTTGACACCTTGGAACGTATACCCTATAATCCCATATAAAATGCCATCCTGTATTTGCGGATTTTTCATTATTTGCGGATTATTTGTCATCTTGGAACGTATTCCCGTAATCCCATACAAAATGCCATCCTGTATTTGCGGATTCTTTATTCGCGCCATTTTTACTGAACGCATCCCCCGCGAATAAGGAGGTTCTACTGTATATATATATAAATATATATATATATATATATATATATATAATTTTATTAATAATAATTAGAACGTTAACTAGTGTTTGATCAAAAACTATTGACATAGATCATGGTAGATGAAAAAATGCTCAAAATTAATATTGTCCCATTAGATATGTAATCATGAAAAAACTGATTACAAAACTTGACCCTGAAAATGCTATCGCTAACATAATAGTGATTACAACTATGTAACTTTATTATCTATAAGTAATTGCTTTGCTTCAATTTATTTTGAAATTTGATTAAAGAAATAATTATTTTATTGAACTAAAATAATGTGTATAGCAATTTCAAATATACTGAATTACTTCACTACAATATGTGCAGTTATTCTTCATAGTTTTTGTACAATAGCTAATGTTTCCAGATTTTAACGGAGTTCAAATTAGTTTGCCACTGTATATAGTTCCTGAAAGTTTTATCTAGTATTTCTTATGCCATAATTGATTTCATATAGTAATTAATTCTTTTTATCTGATATCACTTAATAAACTTATTGTGAAGAAAGACCAGTACTTGAATAGTCCTATATTTTGGAAAGATGTAATAATTATAATGGGAAATCTAGTTAACTTCCCGAAGGAGGAGTTTGTTTTCCTAAAAAAATCCGATTCGTTATTTTTGTTTTCTCGACGTTTCAAGCCATTCTGAATCGAATGAGACCAAATTTGGAAAAAGTATGTGTGTGTGTGAACAGATTTTTACTATCGTTTGTACGACGATCTGCCGAGCCGTTTCCTTTTATTTTTTAAAAAAGCGTTAAACCCTTCGTCCACATTTAAGCTCATACTACTGAATCGATTTTAAAAAAACAAAAACTGTTCGAAGGATATTAGTTGGGATTGATACTGATTGATATTAAAAATCTACGGAGCCGTTATCTTGTAATTAACTGTTGAAAAATAATAAGCCAATTTTCATAGAACTTTGTTTGGCGATATATATCATGGTCTTATAGAACATACTGAAATATTACGGCCTTACGACAAGTAGCTTAATTTTGAAAATTCATCAAAGTTTGAGAAAATGAGTAGTTTTTTTGACGTCTATTAAAATTGAAATTAGACCATTTACTTGGTATAATGATAGAGTACCTATGGTCTTAATGAAAATTAAAGTCCTACGGAAACTGGTTCAATTATAAAAATTATAGATTTTTGAAAATTTGCTTTTAGAAAATACTTCGAGTTAACGTGTTCGTTCGTTTTCCATTATGTGTAATAAATCCACTCGGAATACTTTTAATCACTTATAAATTAATTTATTTTTGAAGTAAAACTTCTTTAGGCGCGATATGGGTGTAAAAATTTCTTTAGGCTACACGGGTGTAAATCCGTACAAATGCAACGAAAACGCCAACGTGTAGTTGAACACTACGACGCCGTAAGCGCTGATGTCGCGAGTATCCACTCCCGTCATGTCATGCGTAAGTCGAGCGCTAAACCCTATATGAACTTGCATTAATTGAATCACGTTTTTTTTACAAAAGAAGAGGTTGCTGTATTATGTCATCATGGAATAAGACTTTTCTTAGAGAATAAATGTGCCATGGAATATAATAAATTTATATTGAATCTCGTTGAAGACAAAATGATATCTACTGCCACGGATATTTATGTAGGTTGCCATGCGACAGATCAACAATCATACATTCGTCAGCAGTTTCAAAAAAATCGGTTATTGATACCGGGGCTTTGCCGTATGAAATAATTTTAGTTCTGAATAAATTTTACATAATAACAACTAATATTGATGTAAGTGATGGCTTAGCTAATGGTTGTGTGGGAAAATTAGTGTACATAGAACGTGGCGATAATGATGAACTTCTACGTTTATGGTTTGAATTTCCCGGTAAGATAGGTAACAAAATTAGGAAGAAAGCTTCACATCATATTCAAACTCTTAATATCAGTAGGACAGCTGTGCCGATGCTCAGGAGATCTTATTATTATTGATGTTATATGATTATTAAAGATGATTTTTAAAATTCAAATATGATGCTTTTTTTATTTTTATCTTAATTGCCTACTCATACAATATTAAAAGTTTTACTTCAATCGCGTGTGATCCTTACGCGCACTCTTTTTTTTTGTAATTTTGGGTAAAATGGCAGCCAAATACCAGAAGAGGTACACATCCGGCATTGCATGCTCTTTGAGTTTCGCAAGGGAAATAACGCAACAGTTTGCTACCAAAAACATTTGCGATGTTTATCCAAATGCACTGGACATTCGTAAATGCCAAAGGTGGTTTTCCAAGTTCAAATCGGGTAATTTTGATCTTTCCGACTCGTATCGATCAGAAGACCATCAGCGTTAGACAACGACGTGTTAAGGGCGGAAGTGGAAGCAAATCCGTGTCAGACGATCGAGGAATTGTCAAACAGTCTCAACCAACCTTGGTCGACCATCCAAGAACATTTGAAGCAGATT